TGATAATTTTTTGTCTAGTTGGTGACTGGTAAGTGAAAAGTTTTACTTTTTTATTTTTATGCTTTATATTTTATGATTATGTCGAAAATGCCCCTAAACTTAAATTTTATTTTATTTTTAATTTAGAAATTATGAAATAATTTTATTAATTTAATATAATATATAAATTTTATTATTTAATAAATTAATAAATAATGAGAATAAATTAAATTATTTATTAACAAATTCTATATAATAAATTTTATAAATGTTAAATAATTAAAATTTTACTATATAAAATTTTAAATAATATTTTTAATGATCATTTTTTCTTTTTATTATAATTCATCTCATCGTCATTATTATTTTTGCATTCAAACATATATTTTACTATTAAATTTAATCTCATCTCTACAGTAATTAATTTTATTTTTATAAATGTCTTTAATTTTACCAAAACTAATCTTAATGTTTATCCAAATAAACACTTAATAAATTTTTTTTTAAATGTAGTTAAGACTAAAAGAAAAATATTAGTCTTATTTATGTACTAGTTTCTTCTAATAGACTAGTTTTTATTTTGTCAATTGCAAGTGCATAAAATTTTTTTTTCTATGTTGTTAGTACAAAAGAAAGCATAATTATATTCAAGTGTTATATATAAGAAATTAATAAATTACATTAAATAGACAAACCAATCAAACAAGCATATTGTTAGATAAATACAATATAAAATTAAATCAAATTCATATATAATAAGACTTATAATTTGAAATCTCAAAATTTTGAGATCTCAAGGTCTTATTGACAATATACAAAAAACTGTTTTGAAATAATAAAAATTTTGTTACTTAAACCAATTGGAGATAGTTTGGTGAATAATGGTTTTGATTATATATTATTAAAAAATTGCATTTGATATATTAATAATAATTTTCAAAATATAACAACTCTTTATGTTAATTAAAAAAATATTTATATTGAATTTTTTTTAATTATAATTCTCTCTATTATTGGTCAAGTTTTTATACTTTGTAAGATATTTAAATAATTTATTATTTTTATCTTTCATTTTTTAATCTATTGACAAAGAAACCTTAAAGAAGACATTAGATTTTGGATTCAAACCAAATCATCCCCTTCTCCTTTTCATATAATAGGGCATTGCCTTCTTGGAAAAAAAAAATATATATATTTTTAAATATCTTAACAAGTATACAGAATCTCACTTAGAGAAATTCAAAGCTTCACTCACATATAAGATAATTATCTTTTCACTTTGCTAGTTGTACTTATTTTTGTAATAACATTGTTATTATTTTAAAATGTTATATATTTTTTAATTTCATGGATTAAGAAATAAAAAATAATAAATGATTGAAAAAGATAAAATGATATCAGGTATTAAAAAAAAGATATAATTTTAAAAGATTCAACAAAAAATAAATATATATGTTTGATCCTACGCCATTGTTTCGAACCTTAATCAATAGTTTCTCTCTCTCTCTCTCTCTCTCTCTCTCCTCTTTAAGCTGAATCTACGAGAAAAAACACTTCTCTCAAGGTTGCTTGGAAGTGCGGCTAGGGTTAAAAAAAAAGGGGAGGCACTCCTAATTGCTTAATGGGTGGATGCGGTTTAAGCAATTAATTTATACCGAAGGCTTTGCCGCAACCCTAATTTGGGTTTCTCAAAATCCCGAGTTGGCCCATTGAATTTAGTTGAATGATTCAATTAAGTACCTCATCTTTTAAGCTTTTATTCATCTAAGTCCTTTTATTCAATTAAGTCGGACTTAATGGAATTTCAATTTTAATCCAGCAATATGATATGAGCTATTAGGTTTTCAACTTATTGATAATAAATATAAATTATAATTCAAGTTTAATAAAGATTAATTAATTATATTCATAGACCAAAGGCAATATCTAATAATACGTTATATTTATTCGAACTGAAGATAATTTAAATTTAACTTTTTAATTATATGTGAATCACTATAATTCAATTTTTTCTTCATAAATTCTAGAAAGAATATGAACATAATGCAATGTCTGCTTATGATATCTTTTCATATTAGTTATTACAGTTCATAGTTAACTATATAAATTTAGAAAAACTATTTTTCTTAAATTCATTTTGTTTTAGCCAAAATCTTTATATGTGATGAATCCTTTCTTCATTACTCATTTACCTTTGCATGTTTTATGTCATTCCCAAAAACACCCTTTTAAGCATCCTTTATTTGGCATTCGTAAAAATGAAATCAGAAATATTCAGTTTAATTTGATTCAATGGTCAATTATTTCAATTAATGTTAAGTATTATGGATTTTTAAAAATCGGTCCAAATTCAAATTGAAATTCCTTTGAAACCAATTTGATTCAAATTAAATTTTATTGATTTGATTAGGTTCAATTCATCAAATTTTAATTTTTATATTATTTTAAATTAATTTTTAATATATTTAAATAGATTTAGATATAAATTTATTAATTTTATTTTATCAAAATTTAAGATATATAAAATTAATAAAAATATATAATTTGAATTGATATGAATATTTTTTATTTTTTTCACTGCTCAATTTAAAAACCAATTCAAACTTAATAGAAACATTTAATATCTGAATTTAAATCGAATTGAATAAAAAATATTACTCAAACCGAATCAGGATTTTTCTTAGTAATCAACAAGATTCTTCAGTTTATATACTATGTACACCTTCTGCCCTAAGATAACATTTACATTGTATCAGCCACCTAAATTCGCAAAAATGAACTACTTTGGCGCAAACAAATGTATTTCCTTTAATGTACAGAGGGAAGCATAAAACAGTACATGCTTGTGTCTACTGCTGCAGACCAATGTCCCTGATGCAATAATCATAACTTCTCCACAGTATATCTCTTTCAATAATTCTTGAGAACCCATGCAGAAAATGGCATGTCAATTGTCTAAAATACAGGATTAAGGCCCCCAATGCAGCAAAATGAATAGCAACAGCCAAAGTCACTTACGGCATGATGAAGAAGGTGTAGTGCATAACTTCATAACCAGCTCAGCTTGCATTTAATTCTAGCGTACGGCAAGAAAGGAAATCTGTTGCCACTCAAGACTTCTTTATAAATTTCTTAGCTTTCCTTGAGAAGTTTCTCACCATAATTCTGTCAGAGAATGTCAGCGGAAGTTCTTCATCAGTAGTCTCTCTTTGATCAGACCAGCCCTTTGAAACACTCTCATCCTTTGAGCTGCCTCTATTAGACTCCACAGGGGAGTTGGGATCTTCAGGTATGTCTCGATATAAATGTTTCAAAATGAACAGTGCAGTGTCATAATCTCTCCAATAGTTTCTGTTAAACCAAGGTTTACCAATAAAAATGAGAGTAAAATATTTATGTTTATTTTTGAAAACTGAGGCAACATCAAACACAAGGTTCAAGCTATTAGACCGTCACAAGTATTCTTGCTGCAAAACATTAGAACATGAGGATAATATGAAATTTTGCAAATTTGTTTTGGGGGCTTGTCTGGAGGTTGCAAGACCCTAAAATTTCATTCTTTTAGTCCATGTATCATATGCTAATTCTTTTTCCTTTTCATTTCTTATTAGAAAAAAACCAGTTTGATGTTAATGTCAATAACATGCATTTATGATCCCAAACTCAAAAATTAAGGTGCCAATAGATTACAACATAAAAACAAAACATAGATAGCCCATCCATCTGCATTGAAAACTAACAACTCCACTATTTAGGGGTCTCCTCTCACAATGGACAGACAATTTTCAAGTTCTTTGTGGCCTTATATTCAAGTATGACCTCTCTACCTATTGTTATATGGATTTAGATTTGGACACCTAACATGGTATCATAGTCTTAGATGCTACTAGACTCTACATGAATAATTGATCAAGCTTATATGCTGTTTGCTAGCCCTTATTTGTTTGTCCACATGACATGCTTTTTCATTTAGTTTTGAATGTTGGGACTACAAGCTAGGCAGAGTATCAAGTGGCGTCATCCCTCATTGGTTATGTTTAGACTTTTCCAGCCCATATTAAAGTTGGACCGCTCCAGTTATTTTGCCAGTTGCTTTTGGTTGGATACTTACCATCAGCCAACAAAAAGTTCATTTGTTTCAGAATTTAATATATGTAGGACAAGCAAGGGGATTGGGTTTGTGGCGGTTTTGTAACTGAAATTCTTGAGAAAACACAGAAAAATTGAACAAAGAAAAGGGTAGAAAAAGAAGAGAAGATCCTATGCTTCACAGCTAGGTTCCTTAGGAGTCACGCCTAAGATTGATTGCATGGCAACCACAAAAGGGATAATGATGAAAATTCTCATATACATAGACTCCTAGAAACGCTATTAGAACTCCTATTCAAAGTAGGACTTTAAAAACACTAGGGACTCCATATAGAAAACTAACAAACTTCACTTAAAACCCAAACCAATACCCTAAACCCTAATATAAATGTAGGAATATCAAAAGTAGTCCTAAATACAACAAAGTAACAAAATAAAATCTTAAGTTATATCACTCAATTAGCTTATTGGCATTCTGCATCAGAACCATATGGATAAACTTAGGTGTATGTACACATTTGGTTGAAGGTAGCCACATACCATCCTGAGTAGCAACATATCTCCTTGTTTATATAGTTCAATAACATGCCGAGGGCAATTTTGGTTGACACAATACCAAAGAAAATATTCAGTAGTTTGGGATTTCTTATGATATGGCTGCAAAGGACAATTACTATACTTGTCATAGGCACACAATGTCCAGTACATACGACAATATGCCAAAGGAAATATATGGCATACGTACCAAAAGTTTGGTTATTTTAGTCAACCAAACATAATAATCCAAAAGAATACACACATACTTGCATACATTATATATATATATATATATAGACATAGATAGATATAATGATTCAAGAATCTTACGTATGTGATCCAATGGCTTGTAGATATGGATGTTCGAATGTTTTATCCTGTAGAGAAAACAAAAAGACTCAGTTAGGCGAAATCAGCAGTATGACCTGGCTGTCATGATTAGAGCACAAACTAAACATCCTTAGGCTTCAATAAATTGGCATTACCCTATCCATTTTAGCATTTACTAAAGAGGATTTCTCAAAAATGATATTTTTTTTACTTCCTCATCCAACTCAAATTACTAGTTTTCAACTTGTTTATTATTACTATTAGCAAGAGGCTGGGAGAGACCATGAGTTACAGCATCAAAGTGCCTCATTCTCCAAATGCATGGCATCAGATTTAGAGGTCTACACAGACTCTCATGATCAGTGTTAGATTAACTAGATCCCCATGGTACGAAGTACAAACTAGAAAAACACCTAAATATTACTGCAGTGACAACTGATAAAATAAAACTAAAGAATCAATTACACTAGCTGGAAAGTGTACCAAGAAAAGTTCATGTGCCATCTCATTTTCACATGCTAACAGGCACACACCAATGTAGGGTTATAAATGAACCGAACATGAACGAATGAACATATGTTCGTGTTCATTTATTTTTAAAGGTGTTCGTATTCAGTTTGTGTTCATTCATGTTCGTTTGTTTAAATAATAGGTTGTTCATGTTCAGTTTGTGTTCGTTCAATTAAGTTAAATGAGCTTATTCGTGAACATTAAATGAATATGTTCACGAACATATATAAATGAACACGTTCATAAACAACAAACAAACCATAATTAAACAAGTTTAAACAAACAAACCTTAAACGAACATAAACGAACCCGAACAAATATAAATGAACCTTAAAATAGGATTAGGATAAAGGATAAAAATGTAACTTCATTAGTATTATTATAAATGAACAGCAATCGAACAATAAATGAACAATAAACGAACGAGTTTTAAATGAACTGTAAACGAGTTTGTTCGTGGACATAAATGAACGAACAGACAGCTGTTCATGTTCGGTTCATTTAATAAACGAACGTACAAATGGTGTTCAAGATCATTTGTTAAGCTTAGTAAACGAACATAAACAAACAAAAACCAAACATGTTCATGAATGATTCGTTGAAAGCTCTGTTCGCTTACACCCCTACACTAATGCACACATGTGCACACAAACAGACAGAAAAAACCAAGAAAATGAAATCGAATAGCATCAGACTGTGTAATTACACACTTGAAGCATATGATCTATCCGCCCTTCTTCACTTCCAGTTAACCTCTTGATCATTAGAGAACCATATGACCTCTCTTCTTTTTCTTCCACATTCTCTGGCCCTATTGTGATAAAAATAAATAAATCAAGGTTTAAGAGTATAAGTAAAATATAGGGGTAATATCGGTTAGGTCAAAATCAATTTTGTTGGAGGTACAAAGATAACATGCTCCCCATCTTTTCAGTGTTACTTTGTGCACATAAAGGCAATTAAAACAAAAAGTGAGTCAAAAAGCTGTAGAAAAACTCCCGATTACCTTCTTGGCCATCAGTGTTTCTTGATTGGCAAACTGTGAGCACTTTAGCCTGTTTAAAAAGTAGTCTAGAAGTTTATTAGACCAGAAACTAAAAAATATAAATTAGTAATGTAAACCCCAAACAATGATTCCATTCAGACTCAAGTTTGGCAGATACATTATAAATTGTACTATAAAAACTAATGCAACAAATTCAGCATTTTTATGTATTATAGAGTATTCAAGGCAACTTAGAACTCAAATGAAACCAATATGATCAACATCTATTTGCATACAGTTTGGAACTTCAATATTACCAGAAAACAAGCACCGAACGTGTAAATTAGACGTACAGGCTTTCAGGTTACTCAGATTGATGATTCATGTATTTCAAGATATTTAAATATATATACATAGTTATATGGATAAATAACTTGATACTTTTTTCAAGGTTCAAATGTTCATTAACTGTTGATGAAAAATTTAAATCAATTTCTCCAACATAAGCAGCCAATGCTTTGGAGCTTGAACCAAACAGGAACAAAAAGCTTCACTATAACCTGGTTGGGTTCAGCATAAAACTGTCAACACATACATTTCTTATAGCTTAAAAACAAACAAACAAGCACACTATTCTTTAAGTAGAAATTAGGCCAAAACAAAGTTAAATTTCCAACTATTATATCTACACAAAAGCAATAACCGATAAGAGAATGATAATGACTTTAATGCTTAAACTTGCACTCAGAAGAAATAAAATGGATTTTGACCATTGCTACTATGCATAAATATATATGTGTAATTTACAAGAATAACCATGGCATTGGCACTCGGATGGAACCTGGAACTGAGAAACTTTTGAGAAGTCTGTTTTTCATGGTAGTCAGAGCAATGGAACCAAACAAAGCTTGTACATGTAACAAAGAATAAGCTATTAACTCTGGATGGAATAGAACCCACCCTTACAGAGCTCAGATGATCCATTACTGCCTGAGAACGAGCAGCTAAATCTTCTGTAAATTCCTAAGCATATCACAGAAGCATATAAAAAATTCAGAAGGGATTACAGCAAAAGAGGGGTAAGGTACACGATGAAAGAGAATAAAAGGTTGAAGAGACACCAAAGAGAGTGTGAATACGAGACAGTGGGAAAACGTTAACTTATATTATGCATATATCAAAGGCCTTACTTGAAATCCAATATGCAGCCTTCTTCCACCTTTGTGATAAGGGATAATAACAGGACGTTTTGTGATGTATTCTTTACAAACAAGTGGTTCTACTCTGCATAAAAATACAAAACAATCTGACAAAAAAGAAGAAAAATGGACCATCTCCTAAACGGAAGGGGAATGGCAAGGGGAAGGGACAAATTCCCCACCCCACCCACCCTCCTCTCCTAAAAATAAGTGGAAAGAAGATCATATACTTGTCTAAACCCAAGTATAGCTTCACAATTCTGCCAGTTTAGATGAGCTAATAAAAAACGCTCATGCCAAATCCAGAATGAACCATTTCAGTTAGGACTTTGACATTCTCGGCTCCAATGAAGAATAAAAAATGCATAACAGGCTAACACCAACCTATATGCTACAGGATCAAATGGGTGGAAAATGTTGAACATTTGACGACAAGCAGGCATCTCTTCGTGAATGTTTTCCTCATCCCAATATTCTTGCCCTTTGCCTGCAATGCGAAGAAAAACAGTTAGCAGTTTAAGCATAGGATAAAGTACAAAAAAACAACTGCAAAGAGGGAAGAAAATCTGGAAAAATAAGGTGAGATACATAATGTTACAACTTGAAGATTTGACCTAAACAGAAGATATGAGGGAAGCATAAAAGAAAAAGTGAGAAATGTACTAGCTATAGCATCTCTACTGAAGACAACTAAAATTGTGGCACACTAGGGGAACTGTGGTAATTTAATCATACGAATTAAAAAAAAATTGGGGCATAGTCATTAGAAGAATAAACATAAGCAACGATAAAATAAAGTGAGATCATTTTTTAAAAGAACCAGGCGTACCATAAAGTTAAATAGCAACAACCAAAATAAAGTTAAATCATTCATTACAATCATCATAAGTTTTTGTGACTCAATAACAAATGTGGGAATTATATCTTTCACCAGCCAAGGGCATCCATCCTTGATTAAAAAGTAAAAAAAATAAAAACACTAAAACCGTACAAAGTAGTAACAAAAATATTGGAGTATGAGTAAAGAATTTACAAGTGCCAATGTAAACCACATTAAAAACATCTAAGATTTGAGCATTACCAAGTCCAATACGGATATTACGAAGGGCAAGGAACACTCCCAGAGGTGATCCCACTGCAAAGAATGTGTCAACCTGATATCATAACAGTTGAACTGAATCAGTAACAGATTTCCTAAAATGTTAAATGTAGTTCATATAAGACTAATGTATCCACTTTTTCTTCTTCTAAGAAGGATTGCACGTGTTTGTGTGTTTGAGTGTGTCCTTAAATACTACTAAAATAACATAAGAAATGTAGTCTATCTTACAGAGAAGCTACTCTATCAAAACAAGACAAGAATACTTTTTAATGAAAGAAAAATAGTTACTATTCTTTTCATCATACCTTGAACTCAAGCTTTGTGTATCTGATATAAGGGGTATAGCTCTTTGGTGCATCATCTAGCTTCGATGGCAGCTTTTGATCAAACTTCTGCAATGTAGGAGGTTTTTGCATAAGTGTCTCCTTATCTTCTGTTATATAAGACAGCACTCACATAAGAATTTTTTCCATAAGAATGAACCAAATGATAATGTCAAGTATAGAAATTTCCTTCAACTTAAAAAAATCAGAACAGATATTTCCTTGAAGCAACATACCACTAGTTTCCTCACTGTTATGTGATTCCAGTTCTGCAATTTTTGCCTTTAGGGAATCAATCTGAAGCAGGGAAACCTTCATTTAACACATTGAAATCCAAGAAAGCCAGGGAAAAACATATATTGGAGGTAGCGTATGCATGTGTGTATACAGTATACACAGAAACAAAGACACCCTGCCTGTATGCATAAGTATGTGTATGTTTGTGCTTATACATGTATATTGAAATTCCCACCTCTTCCCTAAGCATTTTGATTGCTTTATCCTTATCTCTGGCTTCTTCACTCTCTTCCCCTGTCACTTTCTCCAAAAGACCAGCGATATCTGTAGCTTCACCAAATCCACCCTCCTTCAGCTGAGGGGTTTCACTAAAATCATTAAGTAAATCATGCACATCCTCCTTACAGCTTTTCTGCATAGAGTCCTCAGCAGCGACATTATTTTCAGCTGACACTAAGGATCTATCTCCAACATGTACCTTTTCAATCACCAATGAAATTGGTCGTGAAACCATCATGTCTTCACCAATGCAATCTACTGTATTCTTCATCATTGTAGTGGAGTTCTTTTCCTCTAGATTAGCCAAAGAACAGCACTTAGAAGATTGGTTATTCATATTAGGGGAATATCCTACATTTTTGGAGTGTTTCTCATACACCCATTCCATTGGAAATGGGGAGGAGAGATTCTCTTGATGGCAGAGGATGTCATAGGAGACGACACTTCCCAAAGAATGTCCATAAATGGAAACCTAAACAGAAATGATGTCATAATTACGAAGCATTAAATGCATACAGGATCACAAAAATTACATAATGAAAGACAGACAATAAATACTCACTCAACCAGACGCATACCTTTCCATCATAACCAGGATTCCGTTTAAGAAACTTTAAATACAGCCTATTTAACTGGTTAGAAACCTGCAGGACAAGAATTACATATCAATTTGCTTTCAAAGTTAAAAATTTTCTCAGACTGTAATAACCCTCGGGACATATTTCTCAAACTTTACCACCAAATAATTTGAATAACATCTACGCTATACATATTGCAATGAGCATTATCATCTACATAATCACTAGAAGATGATTCATTCGAGATATATTGTTCCAGATATGGTAGAGAATTTTGCAGGAGAGACGAATTAGTGACCTAGAATAGAACTATACAGCCCAATCCCATGGTGGCTTGCATGACCGAACCACCTAACTACCATTTTTATTTCTTCTTTCTCCAGTACCCTTTATTGTAAACTTGCAAATGCAGCAGCTTATATTAGTCAATTGTGTTTTTAGCTCCCTCATGAAAACCATGCAAGTTCACATTACATCAAAACTGCCTCTGACATCAGACACCTCAATGGTGCCAGACATTCATGAACGACCAGTGTTACTGCAACAACTATAAATGGATCATTACCTTCATACCCATACCACTCACCACCACATATATTCATCTGATGCCAGTTTCTAAACCATCTTCAACAAAATGTGGCCTCCATTACTACCATGTCACTACTTGGCTCCCAATAAATGACTCACAACAACTACATCAAAACGCATATCACCACTATGTACATGCAGCTCATGACATTGAAAGAAAATTGTTTCTCCATTTCTCAGGAAACTTTTATTCACTTGGATGGTAAGGAACCTGATGTTTTTGTTCTTGTTTTTCATTTGGTGCAAATGGTTTTCTAACACAAAGGGTTTATGCAGTTGAACTGCGTCACTTGGCATTATTTACAGATAAAAATCACTTATAATATAAAATCGAAATTCATATTAAATGCAAGATGTGATACTTTTTTCTTGACTAGAATTCCTGACACACACACTACATGAGTGAAAACAGGGAGGAAAAAAGAACAATAGGAAGGCAGTTTTTGTTTTCCAAAAGTAAATAGTTTTTTAAGGTATTTTTTCTTTTCGAAGGGAATTGGTAGTCTTTTGTTTTAGGTGAATGTAAGGTGTCCCCAATCGTAATACATAGGAAGGGAAATGATGGATATCACCTTATTTTTATATGTTATTTTACTCTTTTATTAAATTTTTATGTAATTTTGTCAACTTAATTCATATCACTTAACTTGTGACACCAAACTCAGTCACTCACATTATATATATTAGTATAGATACAGTACTTTCTACAACAAAAAAGAAAAAAAAAACAGATAACATTGTGCCATTGTTGAAACAAAATTACGAATTCATGATAGTATCCAAGATAATATTTAGTTCTTAACAAAATTAAACTCATCTCATTTGGATATTAAAATGTTAGAAATGTCAATAAAGTAACTGTTTTGGGTAAAAAAAAATTACACATTCATGTACTTGCTTTTCGAAAAAAATTCTACAACAGTAGCTCAAACTTTTTCCTATAATTATTTAGATCCAAGCATATTCCCCATTTTCAATGACTATATTTATGGGAAATTGAAATTGAAATTCCTTCTTACCAGTTCCAGTGCAAGAAAATTAAACATGTAGTGTTACATATCTAAGAGGAAAGCCCATTCCCCTGTAAGACTCATCACTAATTATGGAAAGGTCTAAAACACTTCAGTTTATGACCTAAGCTCAAGTAATAATCAAGCAATGAGTTGAATCTTAAATTGCTGAAATTGTTTGATAAATTCTTTTGCAGTTCCTCCATTATTTAGAGCTATATATGTAATATTCTACGAACACAAACTAATAGAAGCATTTTCAAATAATCATGCAGACTGCAAATATTAAAAATGAAAGAAAGAATAAAATGCATAATAGTAAACACGGTACTGAGTCAATAATGCTCTGGCAGTATATGGGACTCATGTAGTAGAGCACATCATGAACAGTAGCACTCAGCATAACACGCAAACCCCGCACACCATCTAGTGTGATTTTCTCAACTGCAGCTTCACCACTGAGCTTCAAGCCTTTTCTCCACTGAAAACAAGTCAGGTCAGGTACCATGTAAAAGAGAACATCAAAAAATAGGAGAAAAAATGAAAATTGCATTAAAGTATAAAAGAGAAGAAAATGAGTAAGAAGTGAATAAAAACCAGAAAAATAAGCTCATAATAAATACCAGAAAAGATTTTACAATATATATGTATATCATTCTTACAACTAACTATATCCAACGGAATCCCGCAATATTCTATACTTACAGCAGAAAATACCGTCCCTACATGTCTAAAATATTATAATAACCAATTATACATAAATCTCATTACTTTTTCTAAGAAAACTAGCTTCCACATGACCTTTCCTAACATTCATTGCTTTGACCATACCTATCTTGAAATTTTCTGGCTCTCAATCCATTCCTACAGACAATCTGTGGGAAAATACTTATTTACAGCTGGTTGTAATTTTGTAATCTGTATATTTATATTTGTATATCTAGAATTAAGTATTTGTATCCCTAAAATTAGGATAGACAATCCCTCAATTATAGGATTAGTTTTTTGGGAATATTTAGTTTCCTAGTTTAACCCCTAGTTAGTTGTATATAAACCTAAGATTCTTGTATAATTCTCAATAAGCAGTTTTCCAACATACATTCAGTTTTCACACTGATTTATTTCTTAGTTTTTCCACATGGTATCAGAGCTTTAGGCTCTTCTTGGGAAGCAAAATTTTCAGCCTTCATTGCTGACAATTTTAGGCCTTTATTGCCGAATCTTGTTTAGGCCTTCATTGCCGAACCCTTTCAAAGAAAGATATCACTACCACCCAATTTGAGGAAATGTTAACTAGAAAAATCACTAGAGTACTACAGATGTCTCAGAAACAAGGAGAATTCGACAAGGAGAAGATTGAAAAGCTAAGAAACTTATTGAAAATCCTTGAAAAGCCTACTGTGGTATGTTTTTTAGGTAAGGTTTCTAGTTCAGGTAAAGCTTCCGGTTCTCATGGATTAAATGTCTCGGCTAGGCCTATTACGAGTTCTTAGATCATTGACTCAGGAGCCACAAACCACATTACACATTCTTCACAAAAGTTTAGTACATATAACCTGTGTCCTAGTAATAAGAAAATTGTTGTTGCAGATGGTTCACTTACCACAGTGGCAGGATTAGGAGATGTTCAAGTTAATCCCTCGTTTGTTCTAAAAAATGTTCATGTTCCTGGATTGTCTACTAATCTGATATCTATACAAAAACTTACCAGAGATATGAATTGCAAAGTAACTTTTTATCCCTCTTATTGCGAATTTCAAGACCAGAGTTCGGGAAAGATGATTGGACTTGCTAAGGAGAAGGATGGACTATACTATCTTGAGACATCAAATAACACAAGTAGTATCAAGAATAGTTTACCTTGTCATTCTTTCTGAAAAATCTTCCAATAAAGACAAAATCTGGCTTTATCATTTTCGTCTTGGACATCCTTCTTTTGGAACCTTGAGAAACATATTTCCTTCTTTGTTCAAAGGATTAAATGTCGAAGATTTTCATTGTGATGTTTGCGAACTTGCAAAGCATAGACGAGTGCCTTTTCCAATCAATAACAAAAAAAGTTCTACTCTCTTTTACTTGATTCATAGTGACATTTGGGGTCCTTCTACAATTCCTAATATTTCTGGTGCGAGATGGTTTGTTTCATTCATAGATGATTGTACCAGGGTCTCTTGGGTTTTTCTACTTAAATCTAAATCAAATGTGAATAGTGTGTTTTTAAGCTTCCAAAACATGATCCAAAATCAATTTGGAGTGAGAATCAAGAGATTTAGGTCTGATAATGCAAGAGACTACTTCAACCAGAGTCTATCTACCTATTTCCAAAAAGAGGGGATTATTCATGAGTCATCTTGTGTTAATACTCCACAGCAGAATGGAGTGGCAGAGAGGAAAAACAGCCATTTACTAGCCACAACCCGAGCCTTTCTTTTTCAAGCAAATGTACCTAAATTTTACTGGGGGAAGCTGTTCTCACTGCCACACATATTATAAATAGGTTACCTTCAAGGGTTTTGGGATTTAAAACTCCTATGGAACTACTCTCACAATTTTATCCCAACCTCAATACCACAAACAATCTCACACCTAGGATATTTGGTTGTACATCATTTGTTCATGTTCACAGTCATAACAAGGGAAAGTTGGATCCAAGAGCGATTAAGTGTATTTTTTGTGGGGTATTCTTTGACTCAAAAAGGATATAAGTGCTATCATCCTCCTACCAAAAAATTCTATGTGTCTGCAGATGTCACTTTTGAAAATAAACCATTTTTTACTCAACCTTATCTTCAGAGGGAGACTTCATTCATAGAAGATAAGGATGAAGACTTCTTTTTGCTTGATTTGCCCCCTTTTTCAACATTTGCACCCATTAATTCTTCTGAGTCGAAACCTGTTTCTGCTGAACCCAAGTCAAACACTGAATTTGAGTCTGAACCGATTCCAAATACGGAAGATGTGACAAAGGATAATATTGTTCTTGATTCTATGAAGGAATTACAGGTGTACTCAAGAAGGAAAGTTCCAGATCCTGAACCAGTGCCAGTCCAAGAACCTGATCCTAACTCTGGAAATGAGGTAACTACAGTTTTTGACTCTGTTTCTTAAAATGAGCATGAATCTCCTAAAACTATAACTAGTGATTATGATCTGCCTATTGCCATTAGGAAAGGAACCAGAGAATGTACCAAGCATCCACTATACCCAATTTCTAATTTTGTGTCATTTGAAAAATTATCACCGTCCCACAAAAATTTTCTTGTGAGCCTAAACACTACTTCTATTCCAACTACATTATCCGAGGCATTATCCAGTGAGAAATGGAGGCAAGCCATGAAAATAGAAATGGAGGCCTTAGAGAAAAATTAGACATGGGAACTGGTAGAGTTGCCTAAAGGAAAAAATCCAGTGGGGTGTAAATGGGTTTTCACTATAAAATACAAGGCAAATGGTACTGTTGAAAGGTATAAAGCCAGGTTAGTGGCTAAGGGCTACACTCAAACCTATGGAGTGGATTACCAGGAAACCTTTGCTCCAGTTGCCAAGATGAATACAGTTAGGATTTTGTTATCATTGACTGCAAATTACAATTAGCAGCTTCAAAAATTTGATGTAAAGAATGCTTTTCTACATGGTGATTTGGAAGAAGAAATATATATGAAGGTTCCACCGGGATTTGGAGGTCATCTAGAAGCAAACAAAGTATGCAGGCTGAAAAAAGCTTTATATGGCCTTAAACAGTCTCCTAGAGCTTGGTTCGGGAGATTTGCCAAAGTGATGCTAGCGATGGGATATAAACAGAGTCAAGAAGATCACACATTATTTATCAAGCACTCTGATTCAAGGAGAGTCACAGTTCTATTAGTGTATGTTGATGATATAATTGTAACTGGAGATGAGGAAAAAGAGAGAGAATCTCTAAAACAGTGTTTGGCTAGAGAATTTGAGATAAAAAAGCTAGGGAGATTGAAGTACTTCCTAGGAATTGAAGTAGCTCACTCACGGCATGGTATTTTCATCTCACAACAGAAATATGTGATGGATCTTCAGAAGGAAACTGGGAAGCTTGCATGTAAACCTACAAATACCCCTATAGATCCTAATCATAAAATTGGAGAAGCTAATGAAGATGCTGCTGTAAATAGAGAGATGTACCAAAGATTAGTTGGAAGACTCATTTATCTCTCACATACTATACCTGATATAGCATATGCTGTGAGTGTGGTAAGTCAATTTATGCATAGTCCTAAAGAAGTGCACCTACAGGCTGTCTACCGTATATTGCACTATTTGAAGGCCAATCCTGGTAGAGGTATCTTATTCAAAAGAAATTTGAGGTTAATTCTAGAAGCATATATAGATGCTGATTATGCAGGTTCAATAACTGATAGAAGATTCACCTCAGGCTACTGCACTTTCTTAGGTGGTAATCTTGTGACTTGGAGGAGTAAAAAACAGAATGTGGTGGCAAGATCAAGTGCTGAAGCAGAGTTCAGAGCAATGGCTCAAGGAATTTGTGAACTACTATAGTTAAAGATTATCCTAGAAGACTTGAAGATCAAGTGGGATGGACCACTGAGACTCTACTGTGATAACAAGTCTGCAATAAGCATTGCACACAATCCTGTGCAACATGATAGAACAAAACACATTGAAGTAGACCGGCATTTCATAAAGGAGAAACTAGACAGTGGGTTGATTTGTACACCTTATGTATCAACCAAGGGTCAACTTGCAGATGTGTTGACTAAAGGTCTCAGTAGTGCAACATTTTAAGAAATTATTTCTAAGCTGGGAATGGAAAACACCTATTCACCAGCTTGAGGGGGAGTGTGGGAAAACACTTATTTACAGCTGGTCGTAATCTTGTAATCTGTATATTTATATTTGTATCTCTAGAATTAAGTATTTGTATCCCTAAAATTAGGATAGACAATCCCTCAATTATAGGATTAGTTTTTTAGGAAAATTTAGTTTCCTAATTTAACCCCAAATTAGTTGTATATAAACCTAAGATTCTTGTATAATTCTCAATAAGCAGTTTTCCAACATACATTCAGTTTCCACATTGATTTATATCTTAGTTTTTCCACACAATCATCTTATAGCAGAAAAAATAAATGAGTGAGCTCAAAAAGTAAGCATCAAGCAAGGGCTAAATAATAATAATAATAATAATAATAATAATAATAATAATAATAATGAACCGATAAAGTTGATGAATAAGCAACTTTCAGGCTTCAATATTGTTAAGAATATTCAAGCTATGCATCCTTCACTAAAAAATAATGCTACTTCACAATGTTCATTAGAAAGTGGTTCAGTTCGGCACACTCAAAGGGAGGGTAATGCTTGTACAGAATACATAGCCAATGTGGCCCAGGATGTGGAATGAGGTATTTTTGTCTTAAATCATTCACCTCCATGGCTGCCGCATTTGATTGAAGACAATAAAAGTGGTGTGGTGAATGTGCCCTTTGCAGATTGGCGTTTGTGACCTCTTTTGTACCAACAAAACATTTAACTAGTCAACTCTTTTACCTTCATTGATCATTAAGGATGAAGCCTTGGATCAAGATAAACAAAAGAAGACAACTACAATTCAATGAAGGCAAATTAAAAAAGTCAAAATCAATAGAATATACATCCCAACTGAATTACTGTAATGGAAAGGTCCCTCATCTTCAGATTTCATTATTACTTCTCCAGACCCATCATGCAAATAAAATAAATTATTTCTTTAAAATTTCAAAGAATGAAAAACTCAACCATTATGCCTATATACTATTTTGATACTACTTTTGTTAATGTCCTTACACTCAACCAAGCAAAGGTTAAATTCCAAACTGGAGAGGTTTTTCATAATTGTAATAAAACTATGAACTAGAATAACAGCTCGGTAAAAAGCTATACAAGGGCCTATAAATGTATACATCCTAAAATAGCATAGTCTATCATGAATTCATTTTCAGACATCTTTTAATATTTCTTTATTTTGGCTTCATTGATCTTCTCATTTATGCCACTTGACGTCGTTTAACACTGGCTTAATTTATACGTGATAAAACAGATTTTTAAGCGGTAAGTTTCCCAAGAAACATGGATTTACCTAAAACCATTTTAACATTCCAGTGGCAACTTTAGCTACAGCTTCCATATAATAAGAAAGTTAAAATACATAACTCATAAATAAACAATTACTGAAGAAAAGCAGGCAGCTTCTTAGAAATAACCCAATACCTAATACCTTTAAAAGCATTAATATTGAGCAACAATATTGTGGTAACTCTTAAATATGAACCCAGAAGATGCCAATATAGGACTTTCATTCAAGGGCCTTAATTATTTGCATAAAAGAAACACTATAATGTCTAAACTGCAGGGCAGTGGCCTGTCACATTGTAACAGAAAGTCAACTAATTCAGATAAAGCAATCCTATCCATTTCAAAATACATAAATTATTCAATAACACAGCCAGCAAACGTTATCATTGAAATTATAAATGACAGAGAGAATGATGATAATGAAAATCACAATAACAATGATATACAGCCTCATTCACGTACAGAACATTTTTTGTACTGCATATGCTACAAAGAGTTTCTTCTTAATAAAGAGAAACGACCAAACAAGGAAAGGAAGTATAAGATCATCACAGAGGAACAATTTATTACCTGACAGGGGATAAAAAGGACTCTTTGTGCACCGCGTTGATGTGAAGTCAGGTGTAGCTCCGCAAGGCTTGATGTGATATGGCGAAAGTTGCCAACGTCATCAACCAAATTAGATTTCTCCAACCTTTGACCAATACCATGGACCATAAAGACTAAGTGTCGAACAGGAACCTAGATTGAATACAAACAGTCTTATTGTAAACATCATTAACCAGACAGACATGCTCTTATATGTGCACACACGCTCACTAATTGTACAAAAAGAAGATTGCAGGAAGGAAAAAGGAATAAGGTTATGCATGGTTACAAATTTAGTATTCAATTAAAAACAATTTTGAAATTGCACTCATACAACAAGTCTACAATATATTTTCCATGTAAAATATCCATCACATGAAAGGTTTGCCAGCCCAAAATTAAGCAAATACTGAAAAAGAAAATATTCCTTTATCTTCCAGTAATATCAAGCCACCCTAACCCATCATCATATTAAAAAGTGTGCATTGTATTAACAACTGGAAAAGTTCATGTAGCTGGATCATACACACATAACCTAAACTTTATGATGTAAATAAAAAAATTTGCTGCATGACAGAACAAGTTTGTCCATGGTAGTTTTTAGCCCAAGTAAATCCTTAAACAACGCATACTTTAGAATAGTACATTCAGCAATAAATCTCTCTGATCAAAAGTAAGAAAGGCATAAGATTTTGCAACAGGCAATATTTTATTTTAGTGAAGCCACATAGTTTCCCTGTTCATTACCAGTATAATAGTTATAGCCAAAGTTGTAGTTTCTGAGAAATATTACTAAATTTTTTTATTTATAATGTTTTGTACCGGAAAGCATTAAGAAAAACCTAAAATACATCTTCTAGAATCATGTAAATAAAACACATGAACATATGCAACAAACAAAATGCTCTAAAGCATACCTGAGAACAATAATCGTCCATCTCTTCCTCTTTTCTTTGACGTAATTCATCCTAAGTCAATCATATGTGTAAAATATCAATTCTATGACAGATCAACCAACAAAGATCCAATTTCAGGCCCCCACACACAAGTAATTTGCATATTGGCATTTCTATCATTAAAGCATAGATTGTTTCGAGCTGTTAATGCATAAGAGAGGGGAAAGGACAGAAACCTGGGTTGGTTTGGGGGAGTGAGATGCAGAGTAACCACGTCTTAACTTGATTCCATTTCCCGTGAAATTAAAAACACTGGAAAAACCAGAAGCATCAACATTGAGCCAAGCCTCCCAGGTATCGTCTTCTCCAGTAAAAAGTGCATGAAGTCCCTGCATTCAATGTTGCAACCTCATGTCTTAGGCACTACATATTATGATTTTAGTGAATAGATTGTCCCTCCAGAATATTATAAACATACTGGGTTAGAGCCTTGCAGATCAACTCTAGCTGCAAAAAGTCCTGATGGTTGAAATGTTCTCCTGTGCCAAACCTGTTAATAAGTCCAACTTCATCAGCAGTTACAATTATATTAAAAAAACAACTAAAAACGAAAAAGATACATTCTTATGCCTAAGTTCAATTACAAGGAAAGAATGAACAAGTTAAAACAAGCACAAAATAAGAAAATGAAGATGGAAATAATTGGAAAGCCATCACATGGCCCTCAAATTCTAAGGGTTTAACAGGCAACAAGGTCTCCAGCAGTCTTGTAAAAATTTTAGGAGCTACATTGGGATAGACAATGCAAACATGGTAAATCAAATTTTATTGGGAGAAAATAGGATCTTATAACATCAAAAATTGTGGCAAACCTGGCTACAATATGCAATCTCTAATTGTTCAGCTACATCTTCACGAAGTGGAAGCCAATCCAGGCCCCCTTTACGAGCAAACCAGTGACCTCTCAGAACACGTCGATTTTCTCCATTCCAGTATACAGGGAAACAGTGTCTCTTAACTAAATCTACCTGCATTATTTAAATCATCTCAGATATAAAAAGCTATACCTGATTAGAGCAAATAAAGCTTAGTGCTTGATAGTGAGCAAAAAATTATTTTTAAAATTTTCAGCTATAGAAGTATGTTATTTTAGCACATGATCAAAAGAATTAATGTGACAACATGGAACTGAGGATGAGGCAAGTCCTCATCACAATGCAAAAGAAAGTAAAAGCTTATGACATGGTAGCTTCAAAAGCATACCATACAGATTCAAACAACATTCCTAGCCTCCAAAAAATGGTGCAACATTCATGTGAAAACATATAGAAACAAATGCAATCTGCTAAGATAGATCCTTTGCACAAGGCAATAAAATGGCTTAAAGATCAACACTACCCCTAATTCAAGAATTTTTGATACTGCCCAACGTATATCCAGTCATGTAAGTTCAAACACAGTCAAATATAAATGGACACAATCATTGATAATTGTACTCATTCAACAACACACATGCACACACACAATGAGCAAACATGCCCACACCTTGATAAATACCAAAAAAAATGGAAAAGTCATACAAGCAAAGGAAAATAAGAAGGTTCATCATCCACATTGCTATTATTACCAAAACTAGGGTTAAACCAGAGAAGAGAGGAAAAAAAAAAAGGAGAAAGATGTTATAAATGCAAATAACAACATATTTACATAGGAAAAGTAGTTGGAAGGGCAAAATTCAATTTTCCATAATTGAGTTCAGTACTAAGCATGGGGCCAAACTTGATTACAACCAGCCAATAAACAAGAAATAAAGCTTTCAAAGAATGAATGAAGCCCAGTTTCTCAACAAATCATTTAAAATTCTAGCATAAAAATATTACTTGATTATTTTAAGAAATACTGATGGCTATGGCAAAAGATCCTCCATCTTGCCAGATAAAAGATTTGCACTAAAGGATAAAACATCTTTTGCTCCAAAGGATCACATAAAAAGATCTGAATAGTTGGGAACTGCAGAAACTTGAAGAAGAACGAGATACCTCATAAAGCCCTCCCTTTACAGGGACACCAACCCTCTCTTCTTCAAATGCATATAGTTGGGCTGATTGAAAACCCTTGGAAGAAGATGAATCCTCTCCCATGTCCAACATCTTGCCAGAACTACTTCGTCCTCTTGGACCTTCACAGCATTCAGCATATTCTTTCCACCAACCAGATAGTAGCTCTTCTTCTCTCTGTAAATGCATATTAAACCAAACTACTAGATGAACCAAAAAAAAATTACCACCTAATAACTTGAATATAAAAGGTCCCTTTCACAGAAAATATGATAAGAAGTAAATGCAAAGACACCAATAATTTTTCAGGGTAAAAAAGGTAGGCTATGATAGGACAAAGAGTACTTTTGTCTTCTGCTTGGAATAAGATCAAAGGCAGTATCTTTATTATACATTTGGTACCAGTTGTTGAACAAGAAGACTGGAGAAAAGAAAAGAGAAGATAGTGGCTTTTTCTATTTTGAGGGTTGCCACTCCAATTCTTCACCATACCAGATTATATTAATCCCATCCCCCCTGTAGATTGCCTAAGCCAGTTGATGGACAATTACTTCTAGCATAGCAAGAATGATTCAATCCTCTTCTTAAATAGTGCCACTGTCAGACACAATAAGAAAGTATTATTTGATTCCTTATTCAACCTAATTAACCCACTCTAGTACTTAAATAGATACTTGCAGTGGTATAAATCATGAATAAGAAGATAGGTCCCTATTAAATTCCAAAAACGATTGAAGGGTCAGAAAGAGGTCTAGCTACCAAGATTAATATGGAATAGCAGCTTAATCATGCAACATAAATATAAGTTTTAAAAGAGGACCTGCAAGAAAGATGCCTCTATTGCAAGAGAATCCCTCATCCCAAAACGAAAATAGTCACTCTTCCCAACAATCTCAGTTCGAGGAATTGAGGCAGCTAGATCTGTAGAAAACAAAAGAAAAAGTCATCAAAATTTAAATTGAACTCCTCATTCCCCAGAAAAAAGGGGATATCCAGCCAACTGGTTGGAGGGGGGGGGGGGGGGGGGGGGCCGCAGGAGGAGGGGGTGCTATGTCTACTTCCCTAAGTTCAAGAGACAAGGATCCAATTTAAAAGAACCGAAAAAGTTGATACTGGTGAAAGACTAGTTGTAAGTGAAAATAATTAATGAGACTAGGTGTTCTAAATAAATGATGTACATGTATAACATCAATTCCAGAAAATGAATCTCCTCCTTATTAAATTTTTGCAAATATTACCAAGCATGGCAGTTGAAGCCCAGAAAAAAAGTATCTATAACCCAAAAAAGGAATCCCTATTTCAGAGGGAAATCAAGAGCATGGAAGAGCCAGACAACAACATTGAACCTGGAACTGTGACACCCAATGGCCAGCAGCCTACCATAACCTCTTCTCTCCTCTTTCCTGTGCCCATATTAGACATAGACCTATTACATCTGTTCCACCTAATGTGTTTTCTTGTCTAGTACTGACTTCAAAAAATTGTAAAGCAATTGCTGATTCTTTGCCTTCTGGTGGCTAGTGGCAAACAGATATCTTTATCTTGACAACTTCTGTATTTCACAGGCATCCTTTGGCCCATGCGAATCCTCAGAATTATTTACCCCAACTCAACTATGATTAAAAACAGCTTTAACATTCACTTTAAGGAGTTATTGCATCATAAACAGAAGCCTGAAACACTCCTCCATCTAACCATGACCTTAATGTATCCATGACAGAACCGGACAACTCTTTATCCCTCCAGAAATTATACGGAAAAATTCAATTGTTTTCCATAAGAAATTAAACTATATTAAGAAAAGTTAGACTTAATATTATATTTTGTCCAACACTATTCAGAAGCGTTGCATTGCAACAGACTTCCCAACACCTTTCCCCAGTTCCCTCCAGTTTATAAGCTTGATTCTTACTTGGAAATATCATGTTTTTATTATTAAAAAAAAAAAGTAGAGATGGATAAGAAATTAAATTTCAATTCCTGAACGAACTATTCCTTCCTTGATAACTAAGTCCATGGATCATCCTTGTCAAGAAGTTGATTAATCTAAACAGTCCACAAAGAAAAAGTAAAGACAATAAGACCGACAGAATGCATATTCATTGCCCTTCAAATTGTGCAAAAAGTTAACACATAAAGCAATCATTCCAGTCTTTCAGCCCGCCTAACTTGCATAGCAAAAACAGTTCAAAACCTGGGCGCACAACTTGTGGCTCTCCACTATCTCAAGTCTCAACTTCTAACTTGGTACTCTGTGGATTCCCACAGTAAACCACAATGCCTTAAATGCACACACATTTACAAGACAGTTATAACACCTATGACAACGAACAAAAATTCTCTTAAAATGTTTCCAATGCATCAGAATATGTAGATAACAAACCTCTCTATCTGATAATACAACCAAAAGAGAATGGAAACTAAGAATTGCAAACTAAAACTAGACTTTGAATTTCAGCCCAAACTAACCATTTTCAGCCAAAGGAACCTTGCAAAAGTACCAGCGGACATCACCCCCATCAGAAGGACTCCTCGTATGAGCAAGATACTTCTGACGACCCTTACAATGCTCTATCACATCCTCCAATCTTGCAATGTTATATGGCGTGTTCTTCAATGAATCGGGTGATGTTTCCTCCACCCCACTTGTTCCTTCAACCGTGGTGTTTTCTACTGAATCCGCCATCTAAATCAAATCTTCAAATAGAATACCTGCACTGTATCAAGTCAAGTACAGGTTTTCTTTAATTCTTTCTTTCCCTGATACCAAACAGAGGCAAATGGAAATAGAATTTAGCTTTTAAACTTTTTAACCAGTTTTTAAGAAATAAAAAGAAAATAGGCATTCTTCAAATTGAAGAAACATGAAAAGAAACGAAAACCCATGAAAAAAACCGTCAATTTTGACAAAAAAGAAAAACCCATAATTTGAGTTTCAAAAATTAAAAAACATGGTTTTCTCTTATTCTTAAAACCCAAATCTAAGGATGCATAATCATAAGATTGACATTCTTATATTCAAAATCAAGCCCAAATCAAAGTTGCACAAATAAAAATAAAAATAAGACAGTACCTTTTCAAAATTGATACCGTCTTTGTCAATATTCTGCTTACATCAGACCATCCATCTTTCATGCAGGAGAACATTGGGGGCTTTATCAGGGTTTTGCAAATGGCGTTTAATTTTAATTTTTTTTTCTTTTTTTAATTTTCGCGGCGGTATAAGTTTTCAGAGCCTCTATTTCTTTCGGTTAGTCGATGAAAAATTTTCTATTGAAAATAGCAAAAGAAAAGAATAACAAAGAAAAGAACAAAACTAACCTACTTCTTTTCCAGTAACTTTTTGTTGATAAAGTATATTCTGAAATATTGTCAGTTGAAGGATTGAATGGCGGTTGGGTTAATTGAATGTCCGGTAGAAGAAGAACAACAACATGAAACTTTGACCATAAAGAATAAAAAAAAAAAAAAAAAGCCGTTGCATTCTCTTTTTAGTTCGACATCTTTCTCTTTTCTTTCTTTTTTTTTTTTTTTTTTTTTTGAGAGGATTTTAAATTTTGTTTTAGACTTAAAGAAAATAATACGGAAAAAGGAGAATTACAATGTAAATTGCAGCCGGTAATTGTGTTTGTTGTACTATTTATAGTAATTCATGTCTTTATGTTATATAAAATATTAAAATTTATGTATTTATATTATATTTTATATAAAAATTACATGTGATAATATATATCGATATAAAATATAAATATAATTTTTTTATTTTATTAAATTTATATTAATTATTGTTAAAATTTTAAGTTATATCATTTTTATATTTTTTTTCATATGATGTTTCTCTTGTATCATCATATCATATTTAAAATTATTAAATTTAATTGTATTAGATTAGATGAGTTAATTTTTATTATGATAAAAATAAATAATTTTATATTCAAATTATTTTAAATTTTAATCAATTGGGTTTTATGTGGTATGGAATGCTCACTTTAGAATTCAAGATGATTTATGGTAATTGTATCATCATGTTGGCTAAGCGTTTAATGATTTTATATAACAATGATTTTTTATGACAAAAAATAATCATATTGCTATTTTGGAGAGCAATTTAATTCTCATATAAAAAGATGAAAAAATTTTATTATAGAGTAAAATAATACGTAAACTTAATAATAATCAATATTATTTATTTAATATGTTACTTAAAAACTTAATTCTTCTCAAAATTATAATTATTTTATATTAATATAATTTTTTATATTTTTCAACTAACTGTTGATAACAAGGTCAAAATTAATTTTATATTTTCTTTTATGTTTTTAAAAATTATATATATATATATATATATTAAATTTTTAGTTTTTCTTTTGTTGTGATTATAATATATTAGTTTTATTTTCTAATTCAATTTTTTTACATAATCTATACTAATGAATAAAAAATTCCCTAAAAGGTTATTTGTTTGACATTTGGCATAAAAGAATTGGTTAAATTTTTTAATTGTTTTCAATTATTCAAATATAAAGAAAGAAACTAGCAAAAAATGACAAAAAAAGTAATCTCTACTCTCTATAAATTATATATTAAAATCATTTAAAATGATTTGATAAATCAAATTAACGGAGAAAGAGGGATAAGGAAACGGAAAGCTTTTGTAGACATGAATAAGAGAAGAAAAAAAAAGCAAAAAAAGAAGATAAAAAAGATAAAAGATAAAAAAATAAAATAAAAGCTGTTGGTGCCTCATAGAAAAATGAAATCCGAGAGAAAAAGAAAAGAGAAAGAGAATACGGATAGTAACAATGGTCGATTCTTTACCTTCCCTTAACACTGCCTATTAATTTTCAATCTCTTTTTCTTTGTCTTTTGTCCCCCCCTTAAATCTCTATTTGATTGGTGAGAAAAAAATCAAAAAAAAAAAAAAGAAAAAAGGAAGATTTTTATAAGTTTCTTTATGTTGCTTTTTCTAATAATTTTTTTAATTAGGGATTTAAGAGGGAATTGTATATGATATATTTTTTTTTACTTCCTTCGTTGCTTCTCTGGATGTCTTTTTCTCATTGTTTTTCCTTCTTCTATTCTTTTCTTCTAATTCCTTTCTTTCAAGTATTTCATTTCTTTGAATTTTTTTGCTTTATAGCATAATTTTTCTATGTGTTCATCTTATTTTGTAGCATTCCTTTTTTGTTTTACGGGTTTCTTTAGTTTTTTTTAGCTTTAATCTTTCATTTGTTGGTTCAATCTTAAATGGAAAATTATAGTATCGATGTTTTTATATTTAGTCAAAAGAATATATATCAATTTGGTTTTGATTTGTTTTTGCTTTTTAATTCTATTAAAAAGAAATTGTTTAAATAAAATTTAAATTGATCTTTGTCTATGGATGTTTTGTAGCAAATACCAATGGAAGTTAAATATTTTAAAAGTTATTGGTTTCAATTTTTTTGTTAAATAATTTAACATTTTTTATTATTTTTTCCCTGAAACAATTGTGTTTTAATAGGTTCAACTTCAATCCAAGGTATTTTTTAAAGTTATCATTGTTTATGTTTTAGTTATTTTAGATCTTTATATGAATTTTTGTTATTTAAAAGTATGCATATTGATTTTTAACATTATTATGATTACATATAAATTTTAATGATCTTTTCTTTGCATGCCAATTCTAATTAGAAATAGAACTCTCAATGTAGTTTGAACTACTCCTTGCCAAATCTGACTTTCATGCCACCTCTTACTAGAAATAGAATTTCAACTTCAATTGAAACTCTTTTTATATAGCTTTTTAATTTGCCCACTCCAAATAGGATTAAAAAGAATAATTACTAGGATTAATCCAAAATTGGTTTAAGCATCTTTATTCAAACCAAATTTTAAATCCCGTTTTTGCCATGTCAGCTTACCAATTAAGTACCTTTTATCCAATGAATATTTAGCTGCTACCATGTCATTTAAATGTACTATTCTGCATTTGCGTACTGTAGAAAACCTCATATACTTGCATCTATAATTTTTTGGAATTAAAGCTTTGCTTCTCTAAACTGGACATTAATCTTGAACGTGCATGGCTTGTAATTGCATGAAAATCATCATATTCTTAAACCCATAAGTGTAGCATTGCTAGTTTAAAGCAAATATTTGCATTTTATTTCCAAGATTCATCCAAATTAGCTATGAATTCATCAAGATTCATTTTTTCTTGAAATTTTCCTATACATAGACAAATTAAGCAAAGATAATTCTATGAAATAGAGTTATCTAAACCTATTTTCAGTTCTTAAATGAGTTACTTTTGCTTTGTTCTTAGCTAAATAAAGATTTTTTTACTCTTAAAGTCCTTAATTTACTATTTTATAGGAAATCTTAAAAGAAAAGATTGAATCTGGGTGAATCTTGAAGAATTTTGAAAGTTTTTTATCAATCATGGATGATTCATAATATATTTGAATGAATCTTGGACTATTTTTTATGTGTTCTTAATGATTCTTTGAGTTTTTAGAAAATTTTGAATGAAAGTGTAAAAATTATGCAAGATTTACTTAGCTAAAGCCATAGGAGTTAGAATTGTTCAATAGTGATGAAAAGTTCAAAAAATTCGTGCAAAATCAAGAAAAGCATGTTCAATTACAATTAGGGTCAGAAATGTAATTTCAAGCTAAATGCAAGTTCATGGTAGCTTATATAATGTGCAATACATGGGATTAGTAATGAATGATATGGCTGCAAGTTTTTTATCATTAGCCAAGAAATGACTTTGAGGCTTAAGTGGTATGATGACTTGAAAATTCGGTTCTAACTGAAAAAGTCTAAACAGCCATTGATTTTCTTACCTCTACTTGGATTTCACTTATTCTTACTTAGGGTAGGACTTACATTAAATTTAAAAGGACTCCTAAAAAGTAGGACAACATACACTTGGATTTAAATTAAGAATTAAATTTCTTTTTTTTAAGAAGAGTCCTACTTGAAGATAAACTCCAAGAAGTCTCCAAGAAGCACAAAACCTACTTAAAGTTGAAGACTTTCTTTTTTAAGGTTACCTAGAGTTCAAATTAATTTAAAAACTTTTTTTTTCTCTTGAAAAACCTTAGCCTCACACCATTATTCAATTTTAAAAGATTAAAAGTTCAAGGAAAGTTAAATAGCTAAAAACTTTAAGATTTTAAGTTGGTTAAAGAATAAACCATATAAGAGCCTTTCCAGAAGAAGGTTTACATACATCCATTTGAAGAGATTCAATTCCAACAAACAAAGATTGAAGCCAAGAAGTCTTTTTCATTTGAAAAATTCAAGCAAGGCCGAACCACACTTCTTCAAGAGACAAAGTTAAAGGCTTTCTACACCTCTCTACAATACTAACTAAGGTTTCTTGTAATCTTTTTCTTATCAATAATTAGGTTTAGGAAGAAGAAAAAGTATGGTTGAGGTGATGGCCCATACTATAACTCTATAGGGTTTCTTTTATTGTTTTCTTGTTCTTTTAAGTTCCTTTTAGTTTAAAGTTTAGGGTGACAAATTAGCCATTATTCTTTTAAGCTTTTTTACTTTGTTTTCTTAAATTTTCAATTCAATTCAGTTTCATTCAAGTTAATTTAAATTTATGCAAGTTTAATTTTAAGTTTTCAAGTAATTTAAGTTCAAGCTTTTTAATTTTTTGTTCTTACTATTTACTATAATTTGCTATTTTAATTATATTCAAGTTCAAGTCATACAATTTAAAGTTAATTTAGTTCTATTCTAGTTTACTTTAAGGTTTCTTAAGTTTAATTTAGTTTCACAAGTTATGCTTTCAAGTTATTAGATTAGGTTTAATGTTTATGCATGATTTAAAGTTTAATTTGCTTAAATTTAGTTTTGTTAGTTGCGATTTAAATTTATTTACATTGTTTATGATTAAAGTAAGTTAGATTAGGTTTAATTTGTTGTTCTTAAGGTTTCATGAGTTAAATTCAGTTTGCTAAGTTTAGTTTCAGTTTTAGTTTTAGTTAATTCAATATCTTTTCATGACAAATTGGTTTCTTAAGTTGCGACATTAAATTTATTATTTAGTTTAAAGAATGTAGAGTTAATTCTTGTTTTAAAGTTGCAACTTAAATTCAATTTTACCTAAAGGTGCGTTTGGTAACTAGTAATCTAGTTCCAGAAAATAGAAAATTTTCTTTAAAGATGTTTTGTAGAAAAAAATAATTTTTTGGTGTTTGGATCACTTAAAATATACCCATTTTCTGATGTTTGATTCAACTTGTCATGATGTCTTAGGATCGGGGTGGGTAACCTAAAGTCGGACGAATGAAAAAATTTGAAAAATGGGAGTTAGAAATATTTTCAATGAAAATTAAAATAAAAAGTTGCTACTAATTTTTTTTAGGGTATGATTGGTTACCTAAAAATTTTGTCCATTCAATAAAACATTTAAAGCCGATTTAAAGTTTTATAAAAAGAATAAATTTGTAGTCTATAAAATTAGAGTTTGGG